AAGCTGGCTGCGATGAAATTGCCCCAGTGCCTTCAAAGAGTGTGTTAAATGCAACTGAATGTCTCTGGATTGAAACCTACAAGAATAATAAACAGAACATTTTTGTCTTTTTTACAGCTGAGCAAAACAGGCTCTAAGGATGATGAATAAGAAGACTTTGATGCAGGAAAAATATCAACTGCATTACAGTGTGATCTGGAGACAATTTCTGTAATTTTTTCCCCTACTAGTATTTTATAAAATGACAGTTTGTTCCAGAATTTAAATGTGCAAAGGTGTGCTCAGCCAGAAGGACATTTTTTCTGGTTTTCATCACTTTCTTCGCATCACGGTTTGCCTTTAAAGAAGATACACTGAAGCTGGTGTAGTTCTGTTTTGGCTAGAACTATCATGCCTCTAAACCTAACAATATTTAATTCATCTTGTTTCAAGCGGTACTGAAAGAATCATGAAAACATCTAGTAGTTATGTGCTAGCTAGATCGTTAGATGATTCTAAGAGAGAATTGATTGTTTAGAACTCCTACCTGCTTAAAAAATAAATCAGACTTTTTAACATAAGCTTTACTTTTATTAACTCCTAGGGCTTGTCTGAAGGGGGGACTGGCAGCTTTGCTTTACTTGATATTTAATTCCTGCACAATTACTTTAACACAGTGGCAGCTGCCAGATATTCTCATCCAGCTTTGGGACTAAAATATACAAATGTGGGAGTTATGCTTAGGAAAAATTGCAATGGAAACCAATTATAGATACTTTTAAAAATGTGCTTTGTAGCCCTATTACAGGGTATTGTTGACAAAAGCCATGCTATCACCCTTGCTGGTGCTCCTCTGGCATGATTTGGGCAAGGTCATGACCCTCAGTTGTTGCAGGGGGGGACCGCTCAGTCCTCTCCCATTGCTCCATCATGAAAATAGCTGAGATGGATAACTGAGGAGTGTGGCGGGGAACCTAAGAATAGAAACAGCTCAGCCCATCTCAGCTTTTATCAAGGAGCATTACAAAAGAATAAGACTACCAGCATTTTGGGTCGACACAGGATTCCTAATCCTTTAAAACTGATGACAGAGAGAGAACAGCAGCAGCTATTACATTGCTGTCTGTCCTACTCTCTTCAGGGGCATCAGAGACATGCTGGAACAAAAAAGGTGCCAGCCCCGCAAAGGAGCAATTGGACATTCACTATGATTAGGTGCTTATTAGGGGTTGGTAAGCAAGTGATTTGAGAGTACATGCCATTATCTCTAGTTACTCTCCATTTCTCATGGTCCAGCCACACTCGCCCACCTGTCGGTGACAGATAAGGGCTCTTTTTGTAGCAGGAACTCCTTTGCATATTAGGCGACACACAACTAATGTAGCCAATCCTCCAAGAGCTTACAGTAGCCCCTGTAAGAAGAGCTCTGTCTCGGAGGATTGGCTACATTAGGGGTGTGTTGCCTAATATGCAAAGGAGTTCCTGCTACAAAAAGAGCCCAATGACCTTTCTCTTGTACGGAGCTTCAGTGGAATATTGTGTCCAGCTATAGTCTTTCCCTGCCCTGGTTTTTAGTCCTGCAAGAAAGAATATCTCACAAGTGTTTGGCCAGCAGTACAAATGATTGGCGTATAGTGGTCTCCTCTCAGTCTTCACTAGTACACAAAATTTGAACATGGGGAGCAACACCCCCTCCCATCAGTGCCGTGCATATTTACTCTGTGAAAGACACTACTATAACCTGTTGAATGAGGGTGGGTAGTTAAATGTATAGTTGTCACATATAACAGGATGTGAAGAGAAAAAAAACATATAACAGGATGTGGGAGGCATCCTAAGGTCAAGTGCTCTGCATGCCTCTCTTTGATATCCTGTTGAAAGCAGGGAGATGTTTGGGAGTCATAAGTTAAACTTGTGGGGTGCGTTTTCCATAAATTCCCCATTGCTAGAAAGAAGAAGTTGATATTCCTGTTGGTGCTCCCTTGGGGCCTTTTGCAGAATCGCCAGAGCTACAATCACCAAGTTCCCAATTATATGTCCATGTTTCTCTGCATGCAGAGGCAGAATGATACTGTGCATCTTGGCAAGATCTGTGTTTTCTGGCTAGGTATAGTATACTGTGATCAGTTATAGAAAAAGTGGAAATCCTGTTCTCTAATGTAGCTACTGGGGGTACGGGGGGTGCTGTATGGTTTTCAGGGGTTTTCTATTGACTCCAAAGCGAGTGTTTTTTTAATCCACCTCTTTTGCTGATGTAAAATTATGCTGGTTTCTATGACAATATGTCAGACTGCAGAAAATTCCTAAGGCTTGTTCCATCCTTGCCTTCCTGCTGTCTCCTTCCATCTTTACCCTGTGTTGTTGGTGGCATCCTGCCACCATATTGGTGTATCTTTGGGCCTTGCCAACATAAATTAATTAATACCCCACCAAGCAAGCATAAATTGGTTATTGGATTGCTCCATCAGTGACTGTTTTTAAAAATCTTCTATTCCTGAGTCTTTCAGGATCACTCCATGGATTTGTGAGTGTGTAGCTGTTATCTTTTGACAATTGTTATGTGTAGACTTTGTATCTTACTCTATGTAAAGTTGAAAGGGTAGGGCCAGAGATCGTGCCTTTTGCAGTAGATAGCACAAGGCTAAGCCAGACTGCTCAGGTAGATGTGGGAGGAGATCCCGATGGTCTGGATGCCCTTATAGGTTGCATTTAATAATGTACGTCTGCGTCTATCCTGTATGATGTAGGTGACTGCGTATTCCAGCCAGTCTCTCAGAAAAGCAAATCTTCATATGAAGCCAGAGAGGAGGGTACGAATCTGCAGACTACAGGATATTTGCTCATCCACAAAATCTACTATTAAATGTACACTTGACCAAATTGTCACATAACAATAAATTGTGAAACTCTGAAGAAACACAATGAGTAGGAACAAGTTTTCAGTTGAGAAAAAGTACTACTCATACTTACTTCTTGTTCCTGTCAGGGGCACTATACCAAATCCTAAGCGCTCTCCTAACTGTTTCTTTCAGTTTCTTGAATATCCTGCTTGGGTTTCTTTTCCCCCTTGAGAAAATTTGACTGGTCATCAGTTTTCTTTTAGTTGTCCATGAGTGAGCAATTACACTACCACACAGGTGGATTGTGTATAGGTGTGCTGCATTGTATCTGAAAGTTCTCTACTGTACAAATTGTAACAGCACAAGATGCCTTAATGCCATCTATTTTTATTGTGTGTATGGGGTGTGTGTGTTAAATAAATATATATCTATTTACCAGCTGTGATGGTATTTATTTGCATGAGGGCTTACATGCAAACTGGGGATGCAGTCAGTCCAACAGAATAGCTAAGCATGCATTCAAAACAGGGCTCAACAATTCCCAGGTACCAAGTTGCCACGGTGCCTAGAAATTTCATTGTTGCATCTAGTATTGTAAGTGATGCATCTAGTATTGTAAGTATTTGTCGTAGTGCCTCTTGGCATATATCTTATCATTTATCGTCTTTTTTTCTCACTGGGCCCAAGGTGGATTGGTGGTGGAAAGTGCTGTCAGGTCACAGCTGACTTATATGCAATAAGTTGCAATACTTTGGCCACCAAATGAGAAGGGAGCACTCACTGGATTTATATGCAATAAGTTGCAATACTTTGGCCACCAAATGAGAAGGGAGCACTCACTGGAGATGACCCTGATGCTGGGAAAGATTGAAGGCCAAAGAAGAAGGGGACGGCAAAGGATGAGGCGGTTAGACAGTGTTATCGATGCAACGAACATAAAATTAAGCAAACTCCAGAGCACGATGGAAGACAGGTGGGCCTGGCGTGATGTGGTCCATGGGGTCACGAAGAGTCAGACTTGACTGTGCGACTAAACAACAACAACAGAAGGGGGCACTGGGCAACTGCCGTCTTCTCTGTTTCAGGCAATAAGACAATCAGTGTAGGAAAGACTTTATCCATAACAAACGTCACCTCCTGAGCTGAACCACAGCTTTGCTCTTTCTGCAAGAAAGCCCTCCTGAACAATGCAGAGTCAAGACAGGCAATAATCTTCTCATTGCTTGTTTAGATGTAAACTTAATCATCCAATGGTCTTAAATTCATTTCTTAACCAGCTGCTTTCTGCACTAGCTCCAGTATTCAAATAAATGTAGCTTTTTAAAGCAGTAATGAAATCATGAGAAAATGGGGAGAAGAAGTGAGAAGTTAGCTTTTTGTTGTGGTGATGACCAATGTTCCCTCTAAGCTTTGGAGTCCTGTGAGCAAAAATTCTACTTTGTGAGCTACTGGCATTAAAGTTGTGAGCAGGTGATTTGGTTACTGCATAAATTAGTTTACACTGGAGCCATCCTTCCTGAGCTAAGACAAAAATGTGTGAGCCGGAGGCTAAAAAACTGTGAGCTAGCTCACACTAACTCAGCTTAGAGGGAACACTGGTGATGACAACCAGGGTTATGCCATATTTATTTATACACAACAACACTTTTGTCATAGTTTAATAAAATTGCAAGGAACTCTGAAGAGGTTGGGGTTAGATTTTGTGGCATCAATAATTGAAGCATATGATACTAAAAAAAATAGAGTCTATGGTCATTAAAATATGAAACCCTGAAGTCTGGTTCTTAATTTTGGGGGGATGGCTCCCAGAGCCAAAGAAAAATTTCCAAGTCCTGGTTTAAAACTACTCTTAAAATAAGTCATACTTAAAAATGCTTATGTGCCTGTGTTGTGTTAAATACGGACACGTCATACACATAGGTCCCTCTAAGCTCAGTTGGTGTGAGCTAGCTCACAGATCTTTAGCCTCCGGCTCACACATTTTTGTCTTAGCTCAGGAAGGGATGGCTCCAAAGCAAACTGATTTATGCAGCAGCCAAATCGCTCACTCACAACTTTAATGCCAGTAGCTCACAAAGTAGAATTTTTGCTCACAAGACTCCACAGCTTAGAGGGAACATTGGTCATACATCAACATAACAGACATTAACTGTTAATATTCTTAACGCTAATTAAAGGTTAAGCAAACATTAATAATGACAGTTGTGATGCAGTCTGTGCAGCAAAAGGTTGTGGTAAATGAACCATACAAAAGAAAATATGTGAAAGTAGGTGGTGGGGGTTAGAGGGAAGGATGGGGTTTAAGCTTCCAGAAAAGATAATTAAAAGAGACCTGAGAGTGTGAAAGAATAAACCATGTAAAACAAGTAGCTTTTAATGAGGATATAAAGAGAAGGAGAAGGAGTATGTTTGGCAATGCAAGAGCTTCTGTTCCACATGTAAGTAGCAATATGCCAGAAGTCACCAATGGAAAAAGGATGAAGAGGGAACAGCGCCAGCAGATTGAGTGCCATGTAGTGGAAAGAAGAAGAAATGAACCAAGACTGTAGTGGAGGTGTTAAAGCTGTTATGGAGAACAACAGTAAGTCCTTGAAAATACTTTAAAATAAAAGGAGTAATTTATCAAGTGGTAGGATAGAGGGAGAAGCCTAGAGCTTGACACCTGCCCATAAAAATTTGGATGTTATCACAGTACAGTTGGCTCTGTGAATAACACTGTGATCCTAAAAGCACTCTTGGAATTCCCATTGAGTAGACCAATAGGATTCTAAGCAGATCTACTTGAGGTTGCCCTGTAAATCAGTCCTTCTGGTATTTTAGACTTGGTTTTTCTGGAAAACCAGGAGACAGAATTGTATTAATTTTGTTCCTATATTGAACCATCATAAGCAGAAAAGGGGGGAATGGGTTAAAATATTTGTGGGCCAACCTGTGATGGAAGATGTGGAATGTAACTAACAGGAAACGCAAGCTGAAGGCTGTTTTTAAGTCACCTGCATATTGTGGGGTTTTTTTTAAATTTAAATTATTTTAAAAACTATATATACAAAATAACATACAACTTCCAGACAGTTACTAAAATAACATTTTCATATCTCTTGATTATCTACAAATAAACCAGAGATCTTAGTTGTAGATTTACCGGGCTGTATGGCCATGGTCTTGGCTCTGTAGTACCTGACGTTTCGCCAGCAGCTGTGAATGGCATCTTCAGTGGTATAACACAGAAAGATAGAATACTCTCAAATTTGGAATACTGTCAAAATTGCATCGGTATGGCTCACAGCGACTACTCCATCTTTCTGTGTCATACCTCTGAGGATGCCAGTCACAGGTGCTGGTGAAACATCAGGTACTCAATGCCAAGACCATGGCCATACAGCCCGGATAATCTACAACAACTAATGAACTCTGGCCATGAAAGCCAACAAAAAACCTGAGATCTGTTAAAGAAATAACGTATCTTGATATAAAGCATTTTTGGAAATATCTCTTTTTCAGTTATATATTGAACTACAGGAAACCATACTTCAACGAATTTAGTG